TGGCTTATTACTCTCTCCCCGCAGCAAACATTAACAACAGAAGCAGCATAGAAAAACCTCGCTGCTAAGGATTAAGAACATCAGTCCTGACCTTCTCTCTATGTGAAAGGAATTCAAGTGGGCCCTCAGGAAAATGAAAGCAGGATTTATTTTAAATGGACCTTTTATGAAAATGACTGTGGTTTCCAGCTCGTCAGATAAATAGCCTTATTCACCTTGCCGTGCCTTTGAAGCAGGTATTGTTCTGGAAGTGTTGTGGCATATGAATTTTGCTAGGCATACTTTCTAACTGTGCTGATACTACTGTAGAATATTATAAAAGCCAATTGTTCCCCAGAAGGGTCCATAAGCTGTGATTTATTAATGAAATGCCAAACCTGGGAAACGAGGCAAAGGTCTCAGGAGTGCAGGGTAAAGTAAATAGCATGACAGAATACACATAACGAGTGCTAGCAAAACCAACAGAAACATGCATACAAAGAGAAGACACAAATGCGTTCCTCTCCTTGATGGTACTAAACATTGTCAGCTAAAAATTTAGTCTGCAAGTGACTGAGGAATATGCTTAGATGATATTCATACGTATAAACCACCGCATAAATGGCAATATGATGCCAATTACAGCACAAATTAAAGTCATAATAATTTGGTATAAAATGCCTTGTCTTGGCTAAGAAGCAGTACGCAGAGAAATGTAGGGACAGCAGTACCTTAAAATTAGACTTGAAGTAAAAAAACAACCAACTGTAGCATATGAAAGAACAGTATAACAATATATATCTCAGTTGCATGTAATGAATATAACCTGAAAATCATCACAATTTCCTGTACCATATGTAGCCATATCTCACACAGCAGCAAAGCATATTCTTTGAAAAGATATATCCTAGAGATGTTTGGGGTTTTTTTCCAATTGATGTGAAACATAAGTAGGACTGCGTCCTCAGACATGAGCAAACTGTTGCACATCATTACATGCTCCTGCTGAACAAGTAGAAGGTGCTGTGAACCACCATAAGGTACCTCCATAGCATTGGTCATGAGCATAAATGCAAGACAAGGGCCAAGCAGGATGAGGTCCAATAAATTCCCCAGACCAGTCAGGTACAAAAGCTACTGTTTCAAATTAGTTTTCCAAGCCACCTTGCTCTGAATTACCCCATTGCACACACATGAGTTTTCCCACTATCAGCCTTCCATACATCAGGTACCACACAGAAAGTGAAATGTGACCCATAATGTGCTCTGTACATACCTTCACAGCTACAACTACAGGACAAGCTGCATTTTAATCGCACTGCTAATGAAGCAGCATTTGCAATAGCATCCCCAGCCTTTGCCACATCCCCGGCATACTACTCAAAGCCCAACCAGCCTGGGTGAGGAAGTTCACCGCAAAGAGCTGAGCGGAACCTGAGGATTTCGAGACTCACCAGTGATTCCTGGTGCCTTGGCTAGAACGGCTCAAGAGACACCAATTTGCAGAGCATGCTGGGCACCCGTGTGGTGAAAAATCAAGTTTCAAAAGGTTTCAAAGAGCTGCTTGGACTCAACGATGGACTGCAACTTTGCCACATTAGTCATTATGAAAAAATCTTGGCCAGAGATGACAGCAAGGTCCTTTGCTCCCACGGTGGGAGATGTGCCAAGGAGCAGGCCTTTTCTTTGCTCCCACCAGGCCTCCTGAAGACGGACGTTAATTGTCACTTGTGATAGAGATGGCTGCAGTGAGAGACAAGCATGGCTGTGCAGCTAAACTCTGCGCAGAGCAACAAATCCTTCTTGGGGAGCTGCTCACGGGGAGCTCTTTGGCTGATAAGCAACAGCCATTAGCACTATGCACACGAAATGACCCAGGAAATGAAAGTTATATACAAGGAATTAATAAAACAATTTTTCAAGTGACTTCCTCATTATGTAAGGAGGACAACAGCAAAAGTGCATGAGGAGGAAGGCTTCTCTCTCCAAACAATAATGAACTGGAGACCTGCCTTCTCTGTTTCTGCATAAAATTTTCATCTCAAAATTTTCATGCAGTTTTCATAAAACTGCATCTCAGTTTTCAGCATAAAAAAACCCATCTAGTAACAGACATGTTCCAAGCAAAGCACTGTTTCTTCCCCTTCTGAGGTATAACAATGTTCACAAAATGAAACGGAACAAGAAAGCTTCATGCCTTAGATGTCCTTTATCAGCACTACACATACATGCCAACAGGGTTATTACCCTAATCACAAACGTCAACAACAAATTAGCCCTGTTTAAAATTCAATGGCAACAAAGGCAGAAATCCAATACGTGCATTCTCTGATTACAGTCCATGTAATATATTCTGTGAGTCTCCTGTGAGCCTGTTTTGTGGATGCATGCGCATCGCCTTTTGCCACTGAAAATCAGTTCAATGTTCACTGCACAAATGTCTTCACTTCTGCCAAAATAATTTCTAGCATTTCCATTCTCCATGCCACAGAAAGGAAAGTATTAGTGCCAATGAGAATGAATATGAGGTTTTGTCCTCTCTGACCCCTGCACACCTACACACTCAAACAAAAGGCACACAAACTGCATGTCTGTTCATTCTAAAACTATTCCTCAGAAAATTGCAAGCTATTGCTTCCAGGTTAGACTTTGCAATGAAAAAAAGGAGAGAAAAATGGCTGCTAAGACAGTTTTGTGTGTTTGCTTCAAAAAGAAAGCAGAACGTCTTACGCTTTATGAAATGTGAAAAATAACCGATGTGTCTCATGCTGCCTACAAGCTGCAAAATACTGAGAAATAGCCCGTCTGGGGCTTGACTGAAGGATGGTCCTTCTTGGGGGGAGCAATGTTGTACAAAAGGCCACTGCTGTTGCATTTGGAAATAAGCTTTCTTAAGAGCCTAATAAAATGAATTGTGCCTGCAGTTCACGTGTCCTGAACTTCCCTCTCTTCGCTGTAGAAGACATTCCTGAGAGTGTCCAAAGCCAAATGGGATAATTTAGTTCCAGGAAATGTGCCTCTTCCTACTGTTTGCTTTCCTCAATAATTCATACTACTCGGCACAACACAATCATCTTCATACCAGTTAATGCCAGTATCACAATTGGGTTATGAGAGTCGTTAAAAATAAAATAGAAAATAGCTTCAGAAATTTAGAATTTCCCAAAATGCAGAATATTTCAGCTACCTCTAATTATACGTAGGGCTGGGGGAAGCATGTTGACCCCAGGAACCATTACCAGTTCCATGCTCCCAGTGGGTTTGCTGGGAGGCTGTGAGCAGAGACTGGTTAGAGCACTTTGTCAAGAATAGGTGATGGTTCTGGTTTTACTTGGGTTAGACACAACAGCAGATCACTTCAGACCTAATTTAGTCTGTGTTTGGGATTTTCAAGGATAAACACAAAGGAATCTACAAGACAAATTTCAAAGCATCCAGTAAGTAAATGCCTGGAGAGTGAAAATCATGTTGCTTAACACAACACTAACAGTGGTTAAGAGCAAAGCAGTGAACTTATTCTCACAAAAAAATTAGAAGCTGCAGTTTCCAATCAGTTGTATTCATAAATCCAGACTGAATTGTTTTGCCCTTAAGAATAAAAAAAACCAGAAGGAATAAAAATATGATAAAATCTAGACATTTAATGCACAAAGTGCTTTGAAATATTTTGTTTTGCAGTTTGACAGAAGACAAACAATTCACTTACCCAAAGGAATCCTTCTGGATTATCGTTTCACCCAAAATAAAATAACACAAAATGTCTTTGGATAATCCTGACAGATTTTTTCTCCCAGCAAACCAACAACGTTAATCTTACACATAGAACCAATTCTGACAACAGGAAAAGAAATAAAAAGCAACTGAAACTTCAAAGAACATGGGATAAGATGTTTCAGAAGTGTTCAGTACTGGGCTAATGAGAATTTTATCATTAACTTCCCTGGGAACAGGATTAGGTCTAATACAAACACTTCTGAATATCTCTAGCAGTGAGTAATGAAATGAGGAGGAATACAAGATGATGTACAACCTGCAGGTAGAACTAGTGAATACCTAATAGGGTATTTTCCCCTATTTCCCATACAGCATCTGTCAATGTATAATCTAAATTAATGACTCTGCAGTCTGCTTCATCTTCTGTCTCTTGTCAGGAGCACAGGGAAGACTGCCAGGGTAGACTGAAGCGTGTACATGACCTGTACGTTTTAGCATAACATAGGTATTAAAAACCTGTCACTCCCCTACTATGCTTTTCAGTGATACCTATGTTTAAGGAACAGAAACTTTTGTACTATTTCAAAAATGATTACCGACACCTTTCCTAAAGAAGGTTGCACAACACAACTGAAGGAGGAATAGCTTTTAACTCCCTATGATCCCAAAAAAAACCCTTTCCATGTAAACGCATATCTGATCTCTGACAAGTCTAGTACAACCTCGCTGTCATTTCTGCAATATGATTAATGGTGGATCTGAAACGCTGAATTGTGAAGCATGGCTTACCAACTATACTATTTATGCTAAATAACAATTTCCAGATAATTTCAGATTTCCCACATTCCATTACTTGACTGATAGAAAATCTTCTCATCAAGATGTATCCAACATTTAGGTTTTAGAAGCACAGCAAAGGTAAGAATACAAAAATTTATTTCATTTTCAAATGGCTCTGCAGATGACAGTTCCCAGTCCTGTTTGAAGCAAGTGACAAAATCCTAATGACTATGAGAGAAGCAGAGATGCTTAACAACTTCAGTGGGGTTTGGATCATTAACAGTAATTGAATGCAGGACTCCAGGCCAGGTTTTGCCCTCAAATCAGACCAATCAGAGACTGAGACATTCAACTAGAGGGACATTTTCATCTGTTAAGCTTGCCTGCATTAGTTATGTAGCGGTATGTTTTTTCACTTCAATCCAATGCATTTGAGAGAAAAACTTGCGCTTACTGCCCATTTCATCTGAAGGTTAGGAAACAAAGATTTTAAACAAAACGTTGTATTGCGTGTCTTTTGGTGTTACCTTGAACGCAGCTATGCAGTGTAGGCTGAGTAATGTCATCACCAGCACCAGGAACACTGTGGCTAAGTTCCTCGCATCCCAGACAGACTCGATCAAAGGGATGCTGCCGACCTGCCAGTCATAGCACAGGGTGATCGGTGCCAGCAGAAGCCACGCATTGAAGGCCAGAAGATAGGAATAAGTTAGAAACCTGCAAAAGAAATCGGGTAATGTAATACATGGAATGACTGCCCACACATGAAACTTTTTGCTTTGGCAGCTACCACATACTATATGAGAGGAGGGAAAAAATAACCAAACCTCTGTACACACAGGCACTACCATAGCTCTCTGTCAATGAAGAGATACTAGCATAGGTAAGGCACACTTCAACAGGTCATTTAAAGAATAACATAAGATCAATAATATTTACATGGTTTCTATGCATCAGCCGTTGGAAAACTAACAGATCTTCATCTCCTATGTGAATGTTAGATTTCTGAAGTGACTTTCTACCAGCTTCAACAATAAATGAATAATAACTAAGCAGGTACATACATATACTGAACTGTTACACAGTTCACTGCATCACCCCTGCAATACAAAACATCCCTCTAGCTGGGTTTAACTTAACAATTTAGGATTTCTCCTATGTGTACAACATTGAGCAATTAAAGTCAGACCTCTCTGTCTTTTCTCTTTGCGCCTCAGCACAGAGAGAAAATACAGAGGAAAGGAGGCACAGGGTGATTCTTGGCTGATCCCATCACAGCTTATTAGGGCTGGGGACAGCTTGCATGAGATGTGCCACAGAAGTGATGGAGAAGTAGGGAGCCCTTCACATGGTTGTAATCTTCATTAATTGGTATTCTCAATAGAGAGGAAATTAATGGGGAATGGAAATGGGGAACATGATGCCCTCAGAAGACTGAACAAGAACAGCATGTGTGCAACTGGGCTAAAGAAAACAAGAAAAAATAAAAAGAAAACAAGAAAAAAATAAAATCAAACAAACATCCCCTGTCCTCCCCAGGCTTTTGCTGCTTGGCAGCTACTTGCACAAAAGTGCATCCCCCTCAAATCACATTTGCAAAAGTTCAAGTACTTTTGTATGCAAGAGGCTGGAGATTATTCCAGCCATCATGAAGTCAAGGAAGCAAAATTGCGACAGCCTTAGAACAGACAAACCCTTCCTTGGTTTGCAAGTAGAAAAATCCACATTGTACACAGCACCAAAGATGGCAAATACTCAAACAGAAGTGAAATTATATTATATCCTGCATAGGGTTTCTTCCATCTGAGCCTGCTTTGGCTGTTGTTATCACACCCAGTTGCCATGGTACCTTAGCAGGTTTATTAAAATGATAACAAAGGATGCCCAAGAGATGTCAAGCTGTGTAGACAGAGGATTGTTTCACTCACCACTTACAAACATGCCTCTTTGGGGTCAAAACGCAGCCCCTTAGAACAGCACTTACAACATTATATAATATTTGTGGCAGAAGGGGTAAGTCACTGAAGCTAAATGTGACTCCAGGCAGGCAGGATGGAAGTTCCCAGACAGGGTTGGGCCAAGACACAGGGATGAAACAAGCCTAGATTTTTGTGAAAACATTTTTAAATAACCACAAACAGTTAGGATATCAGTTTCTCTTCTCATCCAAAAAAACAAACGTCTCCAGCAACACAGCAACTCAAAACCAGGGAGGCTTACAGAGCTGGAATAATGTTTCACTGTAAACAGTGGAAAAGGCACATTCTCATTTCCCCGCAAATCTTTCTAAGCTCCCAATTCTGATGGAAAATGGAATATTCCCACATATTGAAGGTTTTCAGCCATTTGGTACATTTCTCTTCAATCCCCCCATTTTCTTCCCCTTCCCCACCCTGAGGTGGTAAACAAGGGGAAAAGTGAGAGAAAATCCATCTTCTCTTTTAACAGAGGCAGTGATTAAAAAGCCAGTTTCTATTTAAGAAAGCATCCCTCAGAAACATAATCTAATTTTACTCAAACTCTTCTTACAACTTTGATTGTTCAGTATTTCTAAAGAAACAAATACGTCTTTTCTAGTCACCAGGGCAATCTTTTCTGGTAATCTCCCACATTACAGAGAAACACAGCAATGCAAAATCTGGTGGAGCTTATCATGCCAAGGCGCTCGCTCGTGATGTTATGTGTGGCCTGGCCCCACCTCTGCTCAGCCACAATACAAAACAGACTTCTATATCAGCCTCAATACAATCTCAGCTCAGAAAAGGTTGCCAGCATTTACTTAGGGCAACTTAAAAGCCAAACTGATATCCATTTCCAGCTTTACTTTTAAAAGAAAAAGCATCTCCATTTATGTCAATCTGAATAATTTAATGGCATACAACATTGTTACAAGTGCGTATATTAGACGGGATTTTCAGAAGTGTTGAGTTAGTTTTGCACTTGATGCCTTAGGAGAGCCCAGTTTTTGGAGGGAGTGTCCTTTTATGCCCTGGCATATTAATATTTTCAACAAGCATTACAATATTCATGGAGGTTTGTAGGCAAACCACAACGCACACCAGAAACCCTCCTCTACTTACTTAGACTGGGCTGCTGGATAGGAAGGAATGAGATGACATTTGGGATCTTTGCAAACTGCAGCACTGCAGTTAAAGGCAGACTAGTTGCTTTTCTGCATCTTGACTGATAAGGCAGGAGCCGATAAATCATTATGCAGCACAGATTAGATAAACACAGTTTGCTTCCATAACAAATTGAGCCAGTTTAACAAATTTTAAGAGGAATTCAGGGTAGCCAGATTAGTGTGCGTTAACGCATTTCTGCTGGAAGATCAGGACAAACTGCTGTCGAAGATGAGAAGACACATTCCGGGACACGCAGTGATCAGGAGAGGTTTGTAAACAAGTCTCTCCTTCCATGTGCTTGTGGGGTTTTGGTCTTCCTTGGGAGCCATGTGCACAACTTGCTGCCAGAGGTAAGTCCCAGAGGAGATGGACAATCGTTCCATTACATTACAACAATAATGTCTTAAATAAGCTCTGCCAAGAGTGGCAAACTATTTTAAAGCTTGTGACAGTCATTGCCATCTCTGTACGGTCAACTGGTTCACCTCTCCAGACACCCTACTGGAGAACCCTTGGCCACGTCTCTCGTCACCAAGCCTGAACATCCTCATTGAACATGCATGTGCCATCAGCAGGCATGGAAGCAAGATGCAGGAGGGTGCTGCCTGATTTTAGGAGGTGTTTGTAAGCTGCGAGAAAGCCTTGAGCGAGCTCTGATCCAAGCAAAAGTTTGGATACGCTTTCAGCATTGGTAAACTCTCCTTGAATGCGATGGATGGCTGTATAAAATAAAGCACTACAAACTGTCACTATTCTAGGTACTAGGAACAGAAAAATAACAGGATGCTAATAATAGTTACTGACAATTCAGTGCTGCTTTTTACTTATGGCTCTCGAAAGTATATGATATTCCATTACATCCGTGTGGCTAACCAGGGAGAAAGCTAAATGCAGGAGAAACTTTGGAAGAACCCTCTCACCAAATGCAAGGAAATAATTTGCAAATTTTGAAAAGAGTTGAAGATTCATGGAATCATTCCAGGAGCTAATTACATTTCAGTGGCCTACCTGCAAATGGCAACAAAAGTATTTTCTTTTAATTAGTTGACTCAGTGAATTACATTTTAAATTAATGATCTTCTCTATATTGCTGTTCATGCCTGCTGGAATTCCAAGGGAGAAAAATCCCTGCCTGTAACATCTCACGCTCTATCAGTTAATCCCAGGCAAGACAGAGGTGAGGTGATTGGAAGAATCTGCCTCTTAATTGGCAATCAGTTTTCCCACGGGCTGGGTGACAGCATTTGCATTACAGTAGAGTCTTCCCCCCCCCCCCCCCTTTTTTTTTCCCAAATTGAACATGGAAATCCAAATTTCAGCAAGTATCAAGTGTTTCTTTTCACTTCTCAGCACCTCTGGCAGGTTCAGAAAAACACACACCCTCCTGTAGGTAGCAGGTGTTGTCATGGCAATCCAGTTCGTTTAGTTTTAAATTTTTTAGTTTAAATGTACTGTTGCATGCTTTGTTTGAGATAAATACAGGATGACTCATACCTAGAACCTGTTGCAGAAAACAACTATCTGAACTGATTGCTTCTGCTGCAAGAATGAAAGTAAAGGGTACTACTTAAAGCCATAAACAATACGACAGAAAAATACTTGAGGGATTGTCTGTTACCCCGTGCTGTAATAGAGACTAACGAGCTTGGAAAAACCCTAGTCTCAGCTCTGTCAAACCCAGGCAGTCAGAGCACACGAGGATTGTGAGACTAGCTAAAAAAAACCACAAGAGTCATAGATATTTATGAGGAGTTTAATTTGCTTTCTGATTTGCAGCATTTTAAGCTTTTTTCTCCAGCTCCCTGGGACTGAGATTATAGATTTCTTCCTAAAACTGTGCTACACGAGTGCTCAGAAGACTCAAGACTGTGCCCCACCAAAGCTGCATGGAAAGGTGGGGGCCAGTGACCCTATTCTTTCTAAGTGCATACAGTGGTGCAACCTACCACCTACCCACTGGGACAACCCATCCCATTCCTGGCAAACAACCTTACCCCCAAAGACCCAGAAGGGTATCCACCTGCAAGTGGAAGACTTTCCTGCACTGGGGATTTTAGCAAGGCAAAAGCAAAATATGCCCCTGGTTGGGAAAAAAATGGACCTATCTAGAAGACAGGTGGTAACAGTGCACTTAACTGGTATTTGGGAAAAGAAGGGGGTGTACAAAGAAGGGAGGCATCTGAAACAGAAGCAGGAAGATAGTCATTACCCTTTACAGAAGTCACAGACCTTATTAATGCTCTTCTGAAAAGAAGACCACACTGCCAAGAACTTGGGAAGGTTTCAGTTCACTGTAGGGGTGAGAAGAGCTCTTTTATTAGGGAAAAGAGCTCACTTGCATTAACAGCTGAACTGATTTCAGCTCAAGGCTCTCTTCATCCTCTACACAGCCCTAAAACCAAGTGTGTTTGATGAGCTGCCGCACAATAATGTCCTCCTAGGACACATGTGGCTGCAATTATAACCAGGTGGTGGTATTGAAGGATATTGTCTTAAAATTGTATATATTTGTGCTTCCCCTGGGGAACGGCCAGTCCAGTCATACCTTCCCACATAAGTTTATTTTCCTGCTCTGTATATTGTCAACCTAAA